CATACCTCCCCACGGGCTAGACGCCGGGTTTCCCCATCGCCAGACCGTGCGGCGGCACGCCGGGAAACCCCCCCCCCCTGGTCTAGGGGACGTCCAGTCGACCGAAAACGCTGCTTTTAAAGCGTTCGCAGCTGAGTCTCCCACAGGCTTTGGGTGGGTTTGCTTCCACTCCGGGGAAAATGGCGTGGCGTTACCCCCCATCCCCAACCACTGAGGGAGTCTTCCGGTTGGTCGGGGTTTTTGGCTTCAGGTGGAAAAGTCCACCCTACTAGTCCGCCACGCCACGAAGAGGCAAACCCCATGTGGACGCCTCCAAGTTTCCTCGGAGACGCTCCTGCTTTCGCAGGATGGCAAGAGAGAACTAATAACGTCACATTGGAGATGGCGTCGGTGGGTCATAGAGCGTGAGCTCTTAATACCCCCCCCCCGGCACACCCCCACACGGGCTGGCGCCGGGTCTCCCCGCCGCCAGACCATGCGGAAGCACGCCGGGAACCTCCCCCCTGGCCAGGGGGACGTCCAGTCGACTGAAAACGCTGCGTTTAAAGCGTTCGCGGTCCACTCTCCTTGGGTCTGAACGGCTTTGCTGCCTCTCCGGGGGAAAGGTGTTGCGTTACCTCCCCCCACCGTCCAGGGAGTTGTCCGGTCGGGACGTAAGCGGGGACGAAACGGTCGCCTTGGAGCGGCTTTTTTGTGGGTCCGATTTCTATCTCTCTCTCCCCGCTCTCTCTAAAATGCATTACGCAAAGAAAGACTTTGCAGACGTGCAGATGAGCACCCTATGAAGCCAAAGGATTCGAATTGAATATAGACGAAACTTAAATATGGTTTTATTTTTATTAAATTTTAAAACTATTTTCTGATATAAATACTTAATATTATGTGGTATATTTTGAATCATGTTTTGTATTTGAGATCTTAAAATTGTTTGTGATTCTAATGCTATTGCTATGCTTGTGTAATTATTTTTGTGAAAAAATGCCGTAAGTCTGTGATGCCATATTATATGTTTTATGTATTTTTAAAGACTTACTGTGTTTTTGTTTTTTTTAATATTTTTTTTAATATATATATTTTTTATTTTGAAATCCTGCTTAAGCGTTATGGCATGGCTAAATCTACTACGCAAATCATGATATATATGATTAATATGAAAATTTCGGTCGTGTTAAAATTACTTTGCAGAATTAACTTTATTAATATTTATTTTTTTCACTGACAGTATCGAATAATGAGCATAATAAGTATTCAGAGAGATAGGTACGAAAATTATAAGGAACAGGTTTATTTAAATTTAAAGTGTAAGTTTAAGTAGAAAAAATATTTTTAATTGCTCTAGCAACAATTGCTCCGTGATAGCGATTTTGATCAGACCGGAAGTACTTTACTAAAGGCCCACAAGAAGTTACCACCGAAGCGAAGTACCGAAAATGCTAATTAAAGTTAAGGTAAAACCGTGGGTTGCGTTATATTTAATGGTTTATTATATGTTTGTTTAGATAAAATATTTTATTTATTAATCAAGTACCCTTTTGATAATGCTCAGCAGTCACTCTTGCAATTGTAATCATTTATTCACTTAAGAGTACTTAAGTCAACTTAAGTAAGTTTTTTTTTTAAGACACTTAAAGCCAGCTATATTAATAAATAGGGGTGTGCCGGACCCCGATCCGGAATCCGGTTCCGCCGGATTTTGCACTATCCGGTGAAATCCGGTTCCGCCGGATTTACATGTATCCGGAACAACCGGATTCCGGAATCCGGAATATACCGGATTTCGGAATTTGCCAGATTTTGTGACTCACCGGATCATAATCTGAAATAAAAGTAATTCTCTTTCCCGAATTTCACACGATCACGATACATTAATCGATTGTTTCGAGCGTTGAGCTTGTTTAATGTTTAATATTCCGTACATACCAGAGGCTAGAGTCAGCACCGCTAATAGTGGCCAATAGTGTAGGGACTTTGATAAGAAAATTTAAACTTTTTGTAAAAATAAACCAATGGCATAGTTGAAAAGATGTAATTTTTTAAAGAATTATAACACCAAAATCATATTTTTAGCTGTTGTAGTTTTAAAGTTATGAATTTTTAAAGTACGACTTGGTTTGTCATTTTTTAACATGGACTGCATCTCCACATTCTGTGATCTCATTCCACCAATCCCGTCATGCGCAATGACTATATAGTTTATATAAGGCAACGCATTCCCTGCCTTATCACTAAAATACTGTTTAGACTTAGTTTAAACTTTCAACTTTGGCACATGAATAATTAATTAAAGCTTTCCCTGACCAATGGTTTAATAGTTTTTGCACACGGCAAACTCTTATGAATGAAACTCTGAGGTAGTACTACGATACAGTTATGCAAGTGGCTGTGAATGGTTGCCAATGACAACGTGTTGCACACGGTAAATTCTGATCATTTATAATATGGATTCTACCGGGTTGTTAAAGCTCAAATTAAAACATTCCAGTTTAAATGTCTTTAAATGCATTCTGAAACACAAGTTATCAATTATTTTGATGTAAATAGTGATAATAAATTAATATTTCCTAAGTATCGTCAACTTCCGCCATTAAAAAGGGGGGCGTGGCCAACCCCATGGCGAAATTAGGTTGAGCGAGCTGCATAACCTGCTGCGAACGCGTAGAAACATGGCGTCTCTCGTAAGACACTTATCCAAATGGAACGGAACTCAAATATATATCGAAAGTACTAATTTAATAATAAATAGACACACACATCGGAAAATTAAAAACTCGGATTTTTTGGCGCCGATTGCGAATTCCCATACACAAAAAGTAGTAGTCCACCTTGACTTACCGAAGTATCTACCAATAGTACCAAAATCCGGAATCCGGGAGAAACCGGAATCCGGATCCGGCGGATTTCGCATAAGAAAATCCGGATCCGGATCCGGTTGGAAAAAACGGATCCGGCACACCCCTATTAATAAAGTAGGCACTTGTATACAAAATTTAAAAAAATTGAAATAATTTAAAAAAAAACACAGTTAGTTAGAGCAAATTTCAAATAAAAAATGAAACCAGAATCAACTTTTTAGCTTAAGTACTTTTTGAGCTTTGAATTTTTAAAGTGTGAATTCGTTTAGTATTTTTTACTATGGACGAAACCTCCACATCTTGTGACCTCATTCCGCTGTTCGCATCATGCACAATGATTATATACTTTTTATAAGGCAACGCATCGCCTTATCACTAAAATACTGTTTAGGGTCGACTTAGTTTTAACTTTCAACTTTGGCACATGAATAATTAATTAAAG